CCGACGGTGATCCCTCTTCTCCTAGATTTGGGCGTTCGGCAGCTTGGGATGCATCATGGTACTCACTTAAAACTCGTGGATCTGTGTTTATAAGTTTGGGATTATTTCAACTTTCAATCCTAGTTAAAGCCTACCCCAACTTGCTTGGGACTGAAAGGCTATGTTGTTGTTGTTCAATCCTAGTTAAGATGCACTATAAGATTATTTCGATTAAATCTGTGAGTATTTCAATTAAGTCTGTGAGTAAATCATTAGTTCACAATTGATTCTGGGATCGGTCTGTTCAGTTTGTTGCCTGTGAGATATATGGTTTGGAGGCTAGTTAAATTTGATACACTAGCAAGAAGTCCGCCAATTAAGTTGTTGTCACCTGCTACGAAAGTACTAATAGCTTGGAGAGGTTTCCAATTAAGATGTCTGCAATTCAAAAGAGGACCCAAAAATTACCAGTAAAAGAAGTTTTTAGCTGATGTGTGTTTGTCCTGTGAAAAAAAGTTATTCAACTTCTATTCTTTGATTTATAGTAATTTCAGCTGCTATCTATGTTTGTTGTAATCACAATGCACTTGCCTCTTCACAGTTCTAGGAAAATCATATCTGTTGCTTCCATTAGCATATGATTTTTTTCTAAAAACAGAATTGCTCATGTGTGTTTGCTTTTGTGAATTTTTTCTTAAAACAGAATTGCTCATATCTGTTACTTTTGTTATACAGAGCTAGTAAATCATTAGTTTACAAATGATTTTGTCCTACCTGTAGTAAATTACTTTAGTTTCAATTACTTTAGTTTGCCCTATAAAAAATTATTCAGCTTGTATTCCTTGATTTACAGTAATTTCAATCACTATCTATGTTTGCTCATACTACTGTCAGCCATTCTGAAAACTGCATGCTGTTAATACCACCTATGTGCTAATAGACCAATGTCCAATGAAGCAAGTTCACTGCCTGAAATGGAAATCTTGCTTGAGCAGCCTTATAATGACAATGACAATATTAGGACTGAGAGGAGAATCCTATGGACAGAGGACGAGGATTAGACTGATGAGCGCTTGGATAGAACATTCAACAGACTATCTGAATGCTATCTGAACTGCTATCTGAACTGCTATTTTCTAAATTCTGATTGTGACCTAATGTCTGAAACTGCTATCTGAGTAGAGCTAGTGCTCTTGACTTCGTCTCGCAATTTTGATTTAAGAATTATCTCTCAATTTTGCAGGACATGGTGTGATCTACATGATGCTATGATCTACAATTTTTCTGTGCAGAGGATGAGTTGTGACCTACCTGATGGTGTGATCTATCTGTTATCTACTAGTTATCATCTGAATGTCATCTACTAGTGACTACTATCTGAATGCTATCTGAATGCTTCCCGCTTAAATTTCTGCTATCTTTACGTGTGAACATGTGATTGCTATATGAATGCTTCCCGATTAATTTTTGTGTGACCATGTTCTTTGCTATCTGAATTTCCCAGTTAAATGTCTCCCATGTGTACATGAAGCATTAGTGAGTGTAATCATGTTGCTCTTATTTATCCTTAATACATTTTCTATCAAATAGCCACACAATGGTATACAAAATTTATTTATAATTGATCCTAGCTACATGCAAATCATTAAACAGCTTAGAGACGGACCCTCTATCTATGGGTTGTATGACTTGTCTTTATACCCGTCTGTGTATGATAGATTCGAGGTGCTTAGAGACGGACCCCTGTCTGTGGGTTGTACATGTCCTAAGGACACTCCCAATACAAGAAACTATTAGCAGTTTCTATAGCATAGGACATCGTACCAAGAAACTATTATTCCCAGTGCAAGATTTTCTACACTATAGGATATAAGTAGTTATAGAAACCATGTTTGCTCTCCCAATGGGCTACGAGTAGTTTCTTGTCCATCGATAACCGTGAACACCTAGTTTCTTAGGGCAGTCCCAATGGTGTATTGATGATGGTTTCTATCCTCATTAAATGACTTGCCACGTCGGTAAAATGTTGACATGGCAACATAATTAATGAAGAAAGAGAGCAAAAATCCTAGAAATGATTTCCTCATGAAGAAATCAAATCTTCTCTTGACCCAATGCACCAAAAACCATGAAATCGCTATTGGGGAGATACCACCAGTTTCAAGAGGGTTCGTGCCATACTCCCATTGGAGGAAGAAGATAGAATTAAGAGAGAGAAAGAAAATAATTATTACACAAAGGACACCTCCACTGTGGAAGGTAGTTTCTATAGATGATTTCTTATGCTATGGAAACCGTATCAGTTTCTTCCATTGAGACTGCCCTTAGTTAGACCTGGTTTCTTGGATTTATCCTTTCTCTCCTCATTAAATCACTTGCCACATCAGCAAATTGCCTACATGGCAGTGCAATTAATATCTATAGAAACTAGCGTAGTTTCTGCGTCGTGATTGCCCTAATACCACCAATGGATTCACATGATGATAAATGGCATACTATTCAAATTGTATGATACTCCCTCCGGTTCTATAAAGCAAGTCGTTTTGAGGTTGTCTTAAGTCAAACATTTTAAACTTTGACTACAAATAACTTCTTTTGGGTTAAGTTTGAAAATATGAAAGTGATGTAAGTAGATTCATCTCGAAATGTAGTTTCATAAAATTATATATTGACTATATTTTATAGATATTTTATAGCAAAAAGTTGCAGTCAAAGTTGTTTCTTAAAGACCGTGTCGATGTCCAAAACGACTTACTTTATAGAACCGGAGGGAGTATACTGTTTGACCCAGAGACCCTTAAGGCAGTCACAATGGTGTATTAATGATGGTTTCTATCCTCATTAAATGACTTGTCACGTAGACAAAACGCTGACATGGCAACGTAATTAATGAAGAAAGAGAGCAAAAATCCTAAAAATGGTTCCCTCGTGAAGAAATCAGGTATTCTCTTAACCCAATGCACCAAGAAACCATGAAATCGTCATTGAGGAGAAACCACCAGTTTTTAGAGGGCTCGTGCCGCACTCCTATTGGATTGAAGGAAGAAGATAGAATTGTGAGAGAGAGAAAGAGAATAATTATTACTCATAGAAACCATGGGTTGGAAAACAGTATTTTTTTGCGATATCTTATGTTATAAAAACTACTAGTTTTTTTTCATTGGGACTGCCCTTAGCAAAGTCCAAAAGTCCATACTGAGAGCTGGGCCATGCACAACAGCTAAAGAGCCATTCAGGTTGGCTAATGTTAGCTGCTTTATAGTTGGAAGGTCCTTGAACACCTGAGCAGCAGCATCGGGAAGGCTGATCGGGGGTCCTCGCATAAATGGCCTCCATTTCTCAGTCTCGAGGTCAAACGTAATTATCAAGTCTTTCTCAGTAACTCGGTCATCAAAAGTGATAGTTATGCGGTTCAGAACAGGGAGTAGACGATTCCATTAATTACCACACCCACATGGGGTACTGCACCCAGTGCAGAGAGCTTTTGCTCTATGCGGGGTCTGGGGAAGGGTGTTAGTGGCAAGTCTTACCCTCGCCTGTCCGGTCACAGGCGGTAAGACTTTACCGCTTGCACTAGGCCAGCACAAATGCACCAAAGCAAATTGAAAAATTAATCCAAATAAATCAATATATACAGCAATGCACAGAGTAGTTGTGCCGATGATGTAATAGACAAAATAGCCTAGCAAAAAGGAAAAAAAAATAAAAACACTTGTAGTACTGTTGCAATCACCTAAGCTGCGTAGCATAGCCATAGCATGGATTGTCCATTCCTTCTGCCAAGTATACACAACAGAAGAACATAATATTTCTTTTTGACATTATTCATCAAAAGAACCTAATTCATATCTTCCTTCAGTTATTTGAGAAAGGCACAGCCGCTTAAGAAAGGGCCATCACATTTTTGAGCCTGCCTGGATAGGAGCATAGTGGTATCAGGATCTAAGATGAAGTTCATATTTGAACTTTTAAATCATATAAACCTTAACTAGGACAAAACCTGCAATAAACAAATAAAAACATGAAGAACGTGGAAAAGTAATATCACTCAGAAATCAACATGATAAACCAACAGATGGAAAATCAGTCATAAATCTATTTCCAGATGAGACTTAAGAACCCACATTAATCAACCATTTGGTATCTTTAAGTTGTACAATTGAAATTTGGCCAGCAAGAATACAGTCTGCCCTAAACTGTGCAGAATGATGAAAACGAGCATATGTAACAGTAGAAGGGAGATGCTCCAGTGTTTTCAAAGTTTCAAGTAAACACCATTCAGTGACTAAACAAAGAAACTAAGACTCTAAGAGGACGAATTATCTCATCCTTATGTCATCGTGGGTACACTTTCAGTAAGACAAATAAAACTTCTATTTATGCACCATGTCCTAAGAGGATGCATTTTCAACATGGGTATTCACGGAATATAATTATTTTATGCACCGTGCCTATAGCACATCTAAAGTCAACAGACCCATTAAAACTACCCATTCAAGCACAAGTTTTAAGGAAATTAATTAACTCAAAACGGCCATTACATCTACTTGTTCCAACACATTTTTCAGATGCATGGCACAAAGCCCACATTAGAAAAGGATCTTTTGATCATACATTGCAAACTGGTGCACCCATACCAGAAGGGGGATGTGCAAAGTGTCATCACCCATGGCAATAATAATTAATAAACACTAACAACCAATATGCAGATAGCACCTTTAAAGAGGAAAGCTACTCTCAAGCATCCATCAGTTATCAATACATTTTTCTTATCATCAGTAAATGACAAATGTTCATTACAAAAACAAGTACAATAGAATACTCACCTCATTAGTACTCAGCACTTTAAGCTCAATAGGTTTCCTGCGTACCTAGCAACAGCAGAGAAATGCTTTGACTCCACGCCCCCATGCGTCAGTCTCAAGGTCGAATGTAAATATCAAATCTTTGATAGAACGGTGTGGATCAAAACGTAGGCAGTAGACAACCCCATTAACTACCACACGTACTGGTAAACCTACTCATCTGAATGCCTTCTTCAAGGGGCGCGACTCTCCTCCACCCTGCACAGCTGCTACTGTTATTGGTGTTGAGTGTGCAGATCTCAAACATCTGCTCACCTCCGTTCCCAATGGAAAAATGGAATAGCATTCGAAATATCTTGTATTCCCCTGTGCGAGCGACCTGTCCAAACAGATACTTGGGCTCAGTGACCAAGCTCGAAGCGAGTGCTCTTCTGCAAAGCTGTCTGGTATGCGATACACAGCTCCAGTAGCCGGATCGAGTAATCTGTCCGATAAGTAATACAATTCTTGGCGAATCGGGTTGAACAGTCGGTAGCTGCTGCAGCTGTCGTCGATTTTCCTAACACAGACGCCGTCAAGGGCGACGCTCACCGTTCTGTCGCCCTCCATTCGGTGCACCTTCTTGACGATTTGCCCGGAGACATCCATGATATCCACCAGCACGTCGCGCCCCGCGTCGTCGTTGTAGCCGGCGATGATGAGCACCGCCTGATGCCGCGTGTCGTGGGCCGCGGCGAAGTACGGGTCGGAAAGGAGGGACCGCCACTGCTGGCAGACCAGGCCGAGGCGGCAGAGCTCCTTTGCCTGGAGGCGCAATAGGATCCCGCGCAGGGCGTCCAGGGGCAGAACGCCGATGTCGGATGCAGCTGGAGCCGGCACGATGCGCCGCTCCGGCATGCCGATGTCGGATGCGGCTGGGGCCTGCACGATGGGCCGCTCCGGCATGGCGCACGGCTTTGGGGTACTCGAATTCGGCGGAAGCGGCGGGGCGTGGGTCGAGTTGGGTTGGGGGTGACGACGCCCCGTGCTTGGGTTGGATCTGTAGTTCCAAGTAGTGGGCCGAAGCGGCGGTGGTGAGCTGCGTCACACACTCGCGCTCGCGCCGTTGACCGATGTGACGGCCGGAGCACGAAGTGGACGGCGGGTCGGGCACAGGCACCATTGCAGCGTCGGGCGTCGGGCGCCGGGCGGTCGCTGTCGGCCTCGCACCTCGAGCGGGGGCGGCCGGCGGGGACGCGGGGTGGCGGGCGCCGAGCAGCTAGGGCTAGGTTTTGCTGCCGGAGCCCCTGAGGGGCGGCGCGGAGGGGTTCTGGCGCTGGGACCTTGGCGGAACGGCGATTTTGGGGGTTCGGCTGCGTGGTGGTCAAGGTATCGAGTAAGGATGGCAACGGATCGGGTTCGGATCGGGTTCTTCGGCGCTGAAATCAAAACCGGCCCGAAAACCAATTCGTGGAAATCCATCACCAAAACCAAACCCGCGGATATCGGCGATTAAATATTTTCATGGTCAACTTTAAATAAATTTAATAATCTAAGTAAACAAATTATTATTAGTATCATGGTTTTAATTCTAATTTATTTCGCCACGGTGGTCGAGGCCCATCGAACCCGATTGGTTTCCTGGGGCCCCGAACCCAAAAACCGTGGAAAACTGGATGCTGGGCCGTAGTGGGTTGATGGGCTCTGAAATCTGATATCGGGTAATACAGGTAATTCGGGTACAGCGAGGTTTTACCCGAATTTCCTAAACTAAGTGTCTGTTTAGTTTTCAAAATTTTATAAATTTTTTCAAGATTTTTTGCCACATTAAATTTTTAGACACATGCATGAAGCATTAAATATAAATAAAAAATAAAACTAATTACACAGTTTAGACGAAATTCACGAGACTAATCTTTTAAGCCTAATTAGACTATGATTGAACAATAATTGTCAAATAACAACGAAAGTGCTACGGTACCATTTTTCAAAAAATTTCACCAATTAAACAAGGCCTAATTTCGAGTATCCACAGTCGCTATTCGAAATTATAATTGAGCAGATCTGGTACGGATAGTTTGAGTATGGGTTCGGGTAGTTCAGATCCAGCTATTGGGTAGCGAATAATTTGTCCTGGCCTACAGGAGTCGTGCCCAGACTTTTTTTTTAATTTCTCTTTTGCAATTGAAAATTTGCAAAACTATATATAAAAGTTGAAGCACTCAAAGCATCTCCTAGAGTTTTCAAGACCCTCTCTTAATCTTGATTTTCTTACAAGATTGAAAAAAAACTGCTCCCCAACAACTCCCAATCTTTCCACACTCGAGAAAATCGACCCAATAGCACGCAGAAATATACATCTGCGTATCGATCGGCTAATCTGGATGTGGAAGGACCTGGAGAATAATAAAGAGTAGAATAGGGTTTGCAAATGTAAGAGAGAGAAAAAAAACATAAAAATGGATATAGTGATTTCAAAATAGTCTAAGATTCCTTATGCAAAATTATTTTTGATATTTTAGGAGCGAGATTTTTGAGTGATGTTCGTATGGTCTTTATGGAGACATGCGACACAAACGTCAGCCACACATATTTTGAACTAGCGTGCCTGTGCGTTGCTATGGGATAGCTAACATTTTGTACTAAAAACACACAGATCGTACGATAAGATAACAATATTGTAAAAATTAAATACGTCGGCAATCGAATTAGTCTGGATACTTTGTTTATTACAAACTAAATGGAGCAATCAAATATGTCGGCAAACATTGCTCAATCCACATATTTTGAATATTTATGACCAATAAAAAGGCACAAAGTAACTATTGTCCTCGTTCATTTCGCTGAAAAAACAAGCTGAAACATTGTTCCGGCTGAATTTATTGTGAGAGAAAAAAAACACTGTTCCGACTGAAAAAACAAGCTGAAAAAGACGGATTACAAGAGAAGCGAACAGGGCCATTATATTGAACTAAATTCATATCCATCATATATTCAAAATGCACGCGTCACAAGCATGTAAATAGTCTCAATATTATTTAATTCTCTAAATCTACGAGACGCGACACGGTGTCCTGGGCAAATTCTTGAACCCAACGACGTTTGGCTTCATCAACAAGTAGACGATTGCGTAGGCCTATCAAAAAAACTTTTGGATGAGTGATATAGTTAATAAATTAAATCAATGTTACCCCAAAAGAACCTCACCTTAAAAATCATGCATATGATTACAAATAGGACCGAGTACCATTTCGCTGAAATCAATAGTGGTCACTCCTATCATGCAGAAGCAAAAAATGTAATACCTAAAACTTTAATTAGTCAATAGATATGAGGACATCGGTGATACAGTACCTCTCCTTCTATTCATTTGTACACAGAGGGTAACTAAAATATGCAACTCTGATGCCGCTTGCTGCCATTCCCATAAATGACGGAATATGTGTGTATCCTTGACGGTTATTATGATACAGTTGTACCTACGAGTTACATAATTGATTAGCATCAAACAATAAAAAAATTCATACCATCGACCAATGATAAAATTTTCAATCTACTACTATCTGTCACACTTAAACAAGTACCTTTCATTCAACACTGATATTAACCTTGGCCTCAGCATCATACAAACACAAGAAAAAATAATTAGTATTAGGAAAAAAAACCAAAATGGTACATGTGTTATCTTTATCAATCGTCTGCATGGGTTTGTATGAGTTGTTTCGATGTAGCCGATCACTATCTTTATAGCCATCAGTGTTTTCCGTAGTCGATTCAACTCCAACTAGTACAACATAATTACACAACAAATAAGCGAACCAATGACTGATGCAAGTAGGTGGTATCATTCATACACAACAAAAAAAATTCATAATTTGCAAAGTTGTAGTCCATCTGATTTTTTCCTAATTTGCACAAAACTTTTAGCGTAATGTATATACATTTAGAACATATACATCAATATATATTAAATAAACTAAAAAATGGTAATAATGAATTCAGAAAAGGAAAATTAGAATGCAGCGGACCTCTCGACCCAGCAGCTAGTGCAGTTTTCGCCTTTCTCAGATGATACTTTTCTCTACGTTTTTTATTTTTTTCATCCCTTTCTTCTTGAGTCATTGTTGCATGTCGTGCTTTTTCTCTTTCCCTTTTACGCTGCACACGTTCATCAACTTGCGCTTGTAAATTTGATGTTGTCTGACCAGCTGTTTGAAAATAAGTTGATAGATATTTACTTAATCACCATAAATAATACAAGTGAAAGCGTCTATGGACATGTATATAAACAATTACCTCCATTGATGGTGTTTGTCAAGTCTGCAAATGGTGAACGACCTTCATTATTTTGCATAGGTTCCATTATGATGAAACTGAACACAAAATTAATCCCTAGTTTTAATCAGAAATTAATCTCTGAAAGTGGTCGAAGTTGACAGGCATAATACATGTACACAAATGTAATTAGATCAGATCCGAATACAAATAACCAATTAGCTTAAGTTAGGGTTGGGTCCTCGGTTTAGTAAATTACTTATCTTGATTCCTTCAATTTCCTCACTTCTAAGTTTGATAGACAGCAAAAAATTTGGCATTGAACAGAATTAGGATGTGTACCTGCAAATGGATGGATGTGCTTGATTTTTTGGAAGGATATTTTGAGAGACCAACAGCAGGAGTTGCCTAACCTGAACATCAAAGGCATATACAAATTCAGAGTAGTTCATATTTGTGGCTGCAGCTACTGGCTGTCAAATTTCTTCTTTCTATTTTCTTTTACTTTAGTAAGATCTCAACTATGTAGATAACAGCTATGATTCACCTTGTGCTGTGATGTGCTAGGATGAGTAAAACATGACTATCATTAACAATTTCAGGCATGAAACGCCAAATCTAACATCTATATGGCAGTAAGAAGAAAAACTCATCTTACCTTGTCAGATACAGAGTAAAGGTTGCCTAAAAAAATTTAGAACAGGGATTTGAAACTTTAGCTAGCATCAATATTGTTTAAATGAATATTTAGATGGGCACATTATCATTTCAATTGCCTACAGGTGATGGTGCTGCATGTCAGGTAGCTAGCAGTTGGCCACCTATTTCCTGCCCAGTTGTCGAAGCACCATGGATGTCCATTGACTGCCTCCACCCAAGAATTATACAGAGTAAAAACAAAGCCCAAAATTGTACCTGTTGATAAGGACGACTGCTGGAGGCTGGTTGCTGCAGAATCAAGCGTGGGGAAGTCGTTACCACGTCTGCAGGATGGCCGATGGTAAGGGTGCAAGTCCACGTTGCTGAATAAGCAGAAAGTATTGAGAACCATGATCTAGTATAAAATCACTAAAATTAATTAATGCAAAGGGAATCGGATGCAAATACAAAGGGAAAATCACTAAAATTAATTAATGCAAAACGAATCAGATGCAGATACAAAGGGAATCTGTTCACAATTAAGGCTAACAGACTTCTTACCTGAGGATCTTGTCTTTGTCAGCCTAGACCACAAGTGATAGAGATTCTTGAGGCATAGATATTGTCTTTTCACACGCCCTCCACTGTCTATTGTCAACTTTTGTCTTCACTGTTTATCTATAAAAGGGACAACTACATGTTAACACTGGGAGTCACCCAACACATGAAAACACCCTTTGTCGTAATAGTCTACAGGCTTCCCATCTTATCCTACACTATTTTGTTACGAATGTTACTTTATAAAGCATCAACATAGTGTCATTTTTGCTTAGCGAAATCTTACTGCAACATACTTCCTTTTCAAGTAAATTGTGTCATTTGCTGTATGAAATTATACTGCATCATGAGATCAGTTCAATACCAGCAGGGCAATAACAAATGAGACTTGGATTCATAACATAGTTGTTTTCAATACTGACTGATCTGCCACCTTTTTCTGTTTCTAGTTTAGATCTGCATCCCATCGCAGGGCTGAATTTCAAGGGAACAAAAAATGGCTCTAAGGCTCTAAATATCCTGTAGCACTCGGCATTGGGTTGCTGTTCCTACATAAACTCTGCCCTTCTCTGTTTACTCTCTTTTTGTCTTCCTGTTAACTGCGCTTCTTCTTGGAGCGCTACTGAGTTATGGGTTTTTTGTTGAACTTAAACCCAGAGTCTCCATTCCTAAATGTTCAGTAGCTAAGGAGGTTCAGACTGTCACCATCACCAACATGTCGAGGAGTTATTTTCAGAGTTCAGTTGTCTGCATTGAGGAAACAACTTCTGAATTATGATAACCTTTTGCTGTGCAGAAGCTTCTGAACTTACCAAGAATGAAGTTTGTGTGGAAAAGGAGGAGCATGTCAAGGAAGCTGATCAATGTTTTTTTTATAATGTCCAAAATAACTGATAAGATGTATACCTTTGTTCCATGGAAATAAGGCTCAGTTAAGGGAGACTCATATACACACAAGTATTAATATCATTTTTATTTTTAGAATTTTTATATTTATAGTCTTTTTAAAAAATGAGACGTCCAAGTAGGCAAGTACTCCCTCATCTGTCTGCATGTGTGTGTAAACTGTTCTGCTAATATTCAGAGACCGGTGATGGCGGCGTAATGAGATTATCTAAAATCCCAGCTCTACTCTATTCCCGGATTCTCTACTGCAATTTTTTTTTCAAGTTTGTGTAAGCTTTTCACATAGAGAAGAAGAGGATCATAGCTCAATCCAAAAGAATGCTGGGTTTCATGTTTGGGTTCATTCTCATCTGAGTTATCTAAGCTCTGATTATGGGTGGAGCTAAGCTCTGTTAAATCTATGGCTTGTATTTCAGTTCTTCAGGATTGATTTGGTTTGAGAATTTAGACTCAGTTGCCACATTCAGTTTAGTGCGATATTGCAGAGTATGGTTCTGATTCATCATTTGCTATGTCAGTACACATATATAGATAACCCATAAAGCCCTTCTTTCAATAATCATATGGAATGTAATTTTTGCAGCACACAATAAATATCAAAACATGCGACTCGCTGCCTAAGTTGTACGTCTATCTTATTAGGAAGAAACAAACTCAAATCAATTAAGAAATGATGTATGTATTGGTCTTGTTTTCTTTCTCCGTTTATTAGTTTGCAACTGTAGATGCAATAGAAATGTATTGGTTATTTGTTCTCTTTCTCTGTTTAGATGTTTGCAGCCAATTAAAAAACTGTAGATGCGATAAAAAGAACTAAATTTTCATCTTCCTGGTACCTATTGTTTCAGGTCGTCCCGTTCTTGTTTCACTCAGGCTCGGCGGCTGCAGGTGGAGGCAATCTCTTCCTCGGCAGCGGCAGGCGGAGGTTAGGAACTTGAGGAGATTGACGGAGCAACCGCCGGCGCCAGCATCGAATGCCTCCGCAGACAAGGCGTTGCAGGGGCAGGTCGGGAGCGGAGGCCTTGGCAGGGGAGCAGAGGCCTTGGCGGTGTGGCAGTCTGCAACGGTGGCTTGACAGGACCGGTGCGGGCGGCTTCGACCGGACGCCTATGCAGACAGGGCGGCGGCGTCGTGACAGGACTGGGGCGGGCGTCGGCCTCGGCGGCGCGGCGCACCGTAGACGGGGCGGTATGCGGCGGCGGCGATGGGACCGGTGCGTTTGCGGGAGCCGGGCGGGCGCGTGCGGCGGCGGCGCGGTGAGGGTGACAATGGGGGCGCTGTGGATGCGGAGGCGGGAGGTTTGTTTCCTTCTTTTGAAATCACGGAGCGATGTTTGTTTCTTTTTTTTTTGCAAGGGACAGGCGTAGGAGCGACGGGTGTGGGATCGCACCAGGCAGATACGCTGAACGATGGACCCATGATAGGACATCACACCAAAACGATGTCCACTATTTAGTCTTTTTAATTGCGAGAGATATGGGTGTCTCAGGCACATTCGCCTGAAACATTGCATATCCATCAGGCGACGGTGAGATCCATTGGATCCTAATCCACCGTGCAGCAGTCGTCTTCAACCTCCCGACCTGCCTGGTCTTCGCACTCGCCCACTTGGTCTTCTTCTTCCTCACCGACGGCCACGCTCTTGTCCTCGTACTCGCCCCCGCCACCGCCCACCGCCCTGCCACGAGAGCTAGGGAACCCTAGCGCCTGCGATGGCCGCCTTCTTCCCCTCCCCCTCCGGCCATGGCGCCCCGCCCTCCCTGGCTCGGCCGCCACCACCGCCGCCAGGGCCCCTAAGGCCCTCGGCCTCCTTCCCCATCGCCTGGCCGCCCTGCCTCCCCCCGGCCGCCCAGCCCTTCTATGCCCGCCGGAGTTGGGAAGGAGAGGGGGAGAGACCGGCGGAACCCTAGCTTGGAGGAGGAGGAGGAGGTAGAGGCCTACCTCAATGGATCTTCCACGGCCGCTGTCGGATCCGCCATGGCCAACACGGGCGCATGGAGGAGCTCGCCGGGCATGGCTGCGGCCATCGAGAGGAGGTCACCGGAGAGAGAGAGAGAGAGAGAGAGAGAGAGAGAGAGAGAGAGAGAGAAGGGGAGGTCGGGGCGTCGGACACGGGCGCGGTCGACTGATGGCTAAGCCAATAGGCGACCGATGTGGAGTATTTCTGTTTGAATATATATCCAGTCATGTCATGAGCTGCTTAAAACATTTTCATGCAATTTGTTCTAAAAAATTAATTTGATTTCCAGTCTTAGCAAAGTCCCAGGAGATTTGTGCCCCTCCTTGGTGAACAGATCACTAGGCAGAGCGCTGCTTTCTCCGGTGAAGCCTTAAGTGACAATCCAATACCTATATCATATTTTCATATACTCAATAATGAAACCTTTTTACAACATATAACTCATTCTAAAACCTCAACTTTGCAAAATCTTGAGTATTCTGGATCTTGTCACTTACTAACCTCAATTCTTGTATGTATGTAGTTTCACAAAACCATGTAAACAGGCCACCAGAGCTAGAAACGTTGTGGTGCAGTAGAACCAAACAGGCAACCAAATAGCTCTTCAATTAATAATTGAGAGAGTGAGTTTACAGTTTGCACAGCCTGATCCAACAAGCTGGACTTTCACAGCCTGATCTTTTTGGGCTGGGGATCAGAAGTTCAGAACCAAGTCAAGAATATATTGATCGCTCCTTCTTCTATCATTAAAGATATACAAACTGTAGACCAATTCACAAGATGTTATATTTTCATGATACCACGCAATTCATGTTATTAGAATACAATCAAATCTCTGTTTTGCTCCATAACTAACAGGAATACCCTCCACCTACAGAAAAGAGCTCACCTTGCATGCCATTTTCAAAATTCTCCCCGGGGACGGGGCTTCCATTGACAATTACTCGACTGACTTCTTGTCAATGGGAATCTCTAAACAAAACTAATCTAATGGTGATTAATAACGGATTGATAACAATGGAGAAAGGAGCATACATAGCCCTTGTCAGCCTTGGCAACAGTAATCAGCAATGACAGCAAATCTAGACACGGTGCAGTTTAGCTTAAAAGGCAGAAATTATTACTCTCTGAACATGCATGTTTCAGTTCACAAACTCCTCGCCAACAGAAACAAGAAACAGTTTCTATCATAGTGATAAGGACCAAAGAAAGTATAAAAGCCAGTGTCTTTCACATAAACCAGACGGACAAATAAATACAGTACCACAAGATACATACTTGCCTCACCACTCTAAGCTCAACAAGGTTCCTCCTGTGTACACACTAACTGCACTGCTGAGACCCGTCTCCGCAACGCTCGACAACTTGTTGTTTTTGGGTCATAAATCTTCAACATTCCCAATCCCAACCCATCGATATGTATCACTATCCTCCCATCGTCTAACACAATCAAGGGAGTAAAGGAACTGGAAATACTGCGGTGGTAGTACTCTTTGATCGGAATGCTGTATTGCCTGACCCAGAGGCCCTTGTCGGAGTCGAACAGATACCAAAGGTCCATACAGAGATACGGGAGATGAACAATAACCAGTGAGCCATTTAGGTTGACTAATGAAAGCTTCTTGTCAACAACCAGTCCATTGTAGATGATAAGGCCTTGGGGTCCCCTGATATTTGGTCTCCACCTCTCTGTCTCAAGGTCAAATGACGCTATCCAATCCTGCTCAGAACCACCAGCAGAATATGCATTCTTGCTTAGGAAGTAGACAACTCCATCGATGACCACACTGGCCTTGGCGCACCAATCAATATCAATACAGCATGGAGGATCCTGAATCATCCTCCACTGCGCCTGACCATGAACGGCACTGCTCCTGCCGACAATGGTGCAGATCTCATAGAGAACACGAGAGTTGCCATTGAGCGAATACGAAACCTTTCGAAGCACCTTGTACTCTCTCGTGCTGGCAACCTGCCCAAACGGGCACAATCTGTCGCTGTAGCCATAAACCGGATCCTCTCTGGGCACGTGGTGCACGGCTCCGGTGGCTGGGTTCACCAGCCGGCAGCTGCCGTCCCCGGTCTTCTTGACGCAGGCGAGGTGGAGCGACATGCTCGTGATGTGACCGTCCACACGCAGTTTCTTGACTACGTGCCCGGACAGATCCATAACGCTGATGACGCCTTGGTATTTCCAGTCACCGTTTTCTGAATCTAGTAAAGGATTGTTGTTGTGGCCGACGAGGATGAGTGGCTCAGGGTAGCGTGCTGCGTGGGCGGCGGCGAACGCTGGGTCGGAGAGCAGGGCGCGCCATGACCGACAGACCAGGCGGAGGCGGCAGAGTTCCTTGGCCGGGAGGCGGAGCAGGATGTCGTACAGGGTGTCCAGGGGCAGAGCACCGACGCCGATGCTGGTGGCGGCGCGAACGGGCTTGACGCGCCTGCCCTGCCCATCCGACGACGACGCCATCGCTGGGGCCTGGGGCCAAGGTGAGGTGAGGTCATTTCCATAACCTCAGCGACAGCGAGGACGCCGAGGAGGAAGAGGAACAAATCGATTTGGGTTGCAACAGTTCAGGAACGGAGATGTGTGGCAGACAGAGACAGCAGATAAAGGGGGGATGCGATGTTCTCTGCTTACCAGGGGATCGTGATGGACTCCGGCGCCGGAGCTCGTTGCCCGCAAGAGATCGAGGACGGCTCGCGCTTTCCCCGGCCCGGTGGCGTTAGATCGGCCGTCGGGAGATGAGCTTCTTGCTCGAGGGAAGCAGGCAAGCAGCAGTGGCGTTGGAAGTCAACGGCGCGGCGGCGGGTTAGGAAGAAGAAAGTGAACTGCCTCTTGTTATTATGCTGTCCGCCCGTAGAACACTGTTATGCTGTCCCTGAGTCAACAAGTCAAGGTCAATCACTTCCGATCTGTGTCGACTGACTGTATAAGCGTAAGGTAGGTGGAACCGGTGAACCATGGAAGGTGGCTGGAAGAAGCCGTGGGTGGAGTTGGCCCATGCCCTTCGACATTAGGTAAGTGAGAAGATGGGATCTCTTAGGATGGATGAGAGGGTGTTCTAGTCCCAAGTCATTGAGTGAGGATTGATTGAGCGTGTTTTTCGCTGTTTGTGGTGAAGTACTCTTTTAATTATTTACTCTATTATTGTCTCAAGATGTGATCGGGATTATGTCGCGTGTCAATTTGAGAGGGGAGAAAGTATCAACCACATAAATCTATCAAACTGGTTGAGAAATTGTTGAAGGCATTAGAAGTACCTGTATTGTCAAATACCTGAAGAAAGACAACGGAGCTGTGAAGTTGCTGATGAACACTTAGAAGATATGCTAGAAATTTTAAGATAAAAGAAAACAAGTCAATGGGAGGAGCTCACTGTAAATTGCGACCTGACACTTTGTTGTCGGTTTGGGCTTTGGGCTATGAACTCACAAAAATGTGGTGCAACAAAGCAGTCAGATTTTTTGTGGAAGCCACTACTTTCTTGTTCAAGGAGGTGCGAACCTTAATCGTCGAATAATTGGTGCAGAAAAATGTGAAGTTTTCTTGGGAGCCGAAAGCCAATGGATCTAAAATGTTGAGTTTGTACACGATATATAAGATGTGTGGTGTTGTTACGATATATGCTTGTACATGTCGGCTCTCCCTTACGTTTTATATGGTTACAAAAATATTTATATATCTTCGAAAATTATACCGGCAGGACGTCCGGACGGCATTAATTTTCCGGACGCAATATGGCCGGGCTCGAACAGCCCAATAGCCTTCCATGTTGTTGGCGATGCTTAACTCACATTTCTATCGCCAACATTTAAAACAAAATGAACAAATATGAAAACCAAAACTTAGAAATAGGGTTTTTAACTAACATTCTCCACAAGTTTTGGTACAAATATGTTTTGCAGGGCAACACGTGAAAACACACTAGAATACGCAACCGGGCGTATTCAAGCAAAACACAAGTAAAGCCCATCCAATCTCCGAATTTGGGCCAAGCACCGGCGTGGGAGCCATCTAGGCTCATCCAACAACCCACCAGAGCAAGGCGGTGGCGAGTGGGCTGGCCTAGGGGTGCGCCCGCACCGCCCCCAGCTCATCCTGGCCCCACCTTACTCAGGCGGTGCATTCAATGCACGGGGAGGTCAGCTGCATGGGTGCTTTCCTAAAATACCTCACCAAACCGACCACCTCAAGCTATAAAAAGGAGGCCCTCTCTTCACATTCAACATCATGATACATTTGGAGAAGAAGAGCAAGATCAACCACTTTTTCATTAGCTTCTAGCTAGACTAGATTAGGGAGTGAGTGAGGAAGAGTTAGAGGAATAGCGGAGTAACGGCTCCCTCTACTTCTTGTACTCGGCAAGCTTCATACATCGGGTGGACGGAGCGCCAGACTTGTCGGCCCCTCTACACTTATACCTCTACGATCGTCTTGCTACTTGTAAGACGTTTGTGTTCATCTTTTGATATCAAGTTCTTAAGAAAGTTATCTTTGTTCTTACAAACTTGCGGGTTCATCATTCGTCCCTAGGGCAAATACTCTAGTAGAGGACTCCTAATAAAGATGGAAGTTCCTGGCCAACACTAGAGTAGTGATCGATAGCGTAGATGTGGTGTCTAAGCTAGAAGTCATCTTCGTTTGCCTCTTTTCTTTCTGTTGAGTGGTAGGTGGAAAGTGGTGACAGCCCTGTCCGTCCTTTGTAATCCCTCACATTCGGATATGGCGTAAAGCTGTAGGCCGGCAATGCTTGGCAGAACAAGTGTTCACCGGTGCCCGAAGCAAGTCTATAGTAGCAAAGTTACCTTTTCTTAGGTTCTCTAATCTTTAGAAGAACCTCACCACCCGAGTTATCCTTTCTCTTGTTCTCCTAGGTAAACTAGCTAAGAGACTATTTACACATCCGTTCCTCGTGGAACTACGATACCCTGAATACCACCAGGTGAAGTGCTATAACAGTACTTACGTGCGCTTGCGGACTTTTCTGCTTACGCTAAGAAGCACCAACAAGCATTTCGGGTGCCGTTGCGGGGGAACGGTTATCGCATTATTCTCCGAACCTAGTTTGCCCATGTATCCTTTGTTTTTACCTTTCTTTTCTTTTTACTCTTTTCCAATGGAGCAACCCATCATTCAAAACCTTTCTGCTCCTAAGGGCAAGTTCGTTGAACCACCACAATCATCGAAGCCAATCACAGCTTCCAGTTACGAACTCTGCCCTGGCTTTATAGCCATGGTTCAGGAACAAACCTTCTTGGGGTTAGATTATGAAACCCCTATCACCACCTAAGGGAGTTTGAGCAGCTCTATGCTTGCCTGATCATCTCAGGCATGTCACAAGAAACATTTCGGTGGAAGTTGTTTCCTTTCTCACTTGATGATAGGTCGAAACAATGGTACGCCCATAACGTAGGGAAGGTAGCTGGCGATTGGGAAGAACTAAGGAACAGATTATGTCTTGTGTTCTTCCCTATATCCCGAATCACTGTCTTACGGTAAGAGATCCTCAACTTCTAACAAAAAGAGAAGGAATCTATAGGTGCAGCCTAGGACCATTTTTCAATCCTATCAAGGTTCGGCCCAGACTTGTCTATACCAAGCCATGTGCTGTTATAGCATTTTTGGCAAGGTCTTAGCAAGGAGTCTGCCCTATAGCTCGATATAGCTGCCGGAGGTTCTTTTACCCACAAAACCATAGCGGAAGGAGAAGCTCTCCTAGACTGTATTCTAGAGAACACTCCCCTACTAGAACCCCTCCGTGTAGAACCCGAGCCAAGCCACGAGGAAGTCTCTTCGGCTGAAGCCGAACATGTACCACTTTTAGAGAGACCCTCGCCCGAACCAAAAGATCCGGAGGAAGGTTCCCAACCTTCGGACCTCCTGTATTTCGAGGATGATTTTTTTTGAAGAATCCGTAAACACCTCTTAGTACTCATGCCAAAAGAGACCATCAGATCCTATCACTCCTTCGGACCCCTTAGACGAACAATGTCTCAGAAAATCCATCAAGGAGTTGATAGCTATCATGAGTAGCAAATGGGTAGAAGAAATGGAGCTTTCATCTGAAGAAATTCAGATGCGCACCCCTTCCTCCACCATCCGATGCTCAATCGGCAGAACCTCGGTGGAAGTCCTCTACAATCCTATGGTTAGAACTAACCTCATGTCCGTGTCTTTTGCTCACACCTATTTTAGCGATGACGCCATCACTTCAACAATCAAAACCTGCAGAATTGCACCACATATCAGACTAGAAGGACTAGGGGTTCTTCATAACATTTCACTCTATCACAATGAGAATGAAGTCCCCTAGACTTCCATGTCTTTGATATCTAGGATTTTGATGTCTTAATAGGGCATCCCCTAGAAAAATTCTTCCTCGATCTACCAAAAATAGGGGATTTGGACGTAAAGTTGGGGAGAGACACTTTTTCCATTCCTATCACCCGAGCCAAAAACTTGGTGGCAGAATCTCTCCCCTACTTTAATGTGCCCAAGGAGGTTATGTCGGTTTTACCCTTTGATTCTCCTGAGTCATCCTTAGAAAAGGATGTGAAACTCTTCGTAGAAAAAGAGGATGACTTAGGGGAAACCATAGATCTTCCTCAAGAGGAAGCGTCGGCATGACCTCCGGTTGAGCTAAAACCCTTGCCCGTTGGCCTACGTTTTGCTTTCGTAAATGGCAACAAAGAAACTCCTATAATCATTAGCGATAAGCTTTCTGATGAGGAGACATCTAAACTCATCGCCATCTTAGAAAAACATAGGTCGGTCTTCGGGTATTCCTTGCAAGATCTCAAGGGGATTAGCCCGACAAAATTCAAAATAACATGTTCCTTGAATGACATTGAAATACCTACCAAGGCCATATATGATCATACATGATGAAACCTTCCACATATGCCTCTTACTTTGTATTGAGTTTGGTCAAGTTCTATGACCCCTGTTGAGAGAAGTTTCATGCTCTCAAGATCAAAACTCATGTACATGCCACAAATAAATAGCTATTCCTACACTAGGAATACGCTAAAACATATTTTCCATCGCTCGCAAAATAAATACTCCATGCTCTAAAATATGATCTCCCTAGTATATTAAGATACATAAAGGCTATCCAGAAAAGTATTGAAAAAGAAAGAAAGAATGGGGCACATGAAGGCCCCAAAGTATAAAAAAAGGAAAAAATGATGATGAGCACATGAAGGTTCATAGAAAAAGATAAGCTAGCCATGTCTCAAAAAAGCTAGAGATCATTTCAAACAAAGGATTATAGTTCCACCAAATTCCACACACTTGCATAGTTTTGATCTAAGAGTATGATGCTTCCCTCCGATGAGGTATGGGATTTGACTTTACAACACATGCAAGGTAAGTGTGCCACAACTTTTTCATCCCTACCCAAAAGCTCCATATAAGCTCTTAGAAGTAGGATGATCAAGGAGAAGGCAAAATTCAAAATATGCCTT